GTGTGTAATTCAAGGTGCTCGCGCCATGGCGCGGGGCTGCAAAGTGGGAATGCGGTCCCTGCGCGCACAGCTACACGCATTTACTTTATTTTTTGTTTTCACGTTGGATTGGTTTAGCCTGATTGGTTTCTTTGGGCGTTGACCTTGGCGGGCTGCGCCTCGCTGGGTCTGGTTGGGAAAGTGGGCGCCCATTTACCCGGGCCGCCGTCAACTTCCCCACCCGCCCCCTTCTTGGTAAGAATAAGACGGAAATTTAATTAGAAAGACGGAAGAAAAGCCCTAACGCACATGAGGCACGCAAAGTGTTCTATAAGCCGAGTGTGCGGGCAGAGGAGGGACTGTTGGGAATTTGTAAGAAATGGGGAATACGGATTTAATTGCCAGGGGGTGAACCTTTTCGGCCGCGGCCCAGCAGCTAGCCGCCGCGTTGCCTTTGCCGCGCTGTTGCGCACGCTGCCGTGCGGCGTCGCTCACCTTTGCTTGTTTGGCTCCTCTCTCTCTCTCTCTCTCTCTCTCTCCTGCGCGTGTAGTTTCGGTGACTTGCTCAGGGTGCGATCGGCGCCCAGGCGGACTTCCTATTCGTGTTCTTTGAAGGAGGGGCAAATGACGGCAGGAGGGGCGTGTCGCTGGGCCTGCTGCGTGGCGGTGTGGTTGGCGGCGTTGCTGCTGGTGCACGTCGGCGGCGGCAACGCTGCGGTGACGCTGCGCCTCGTGCAGGTGGTGCACCGCCACGGGTCGCGGGCGGCCGTCGTGAAGTACAACCAAACGCAGATCTGTGGCGACGTCCCGTGCGGGCAACTGAACGAGGCCGGGCGGAAAATGCTGACGAACGCCGGGAAGTTCCTGCGGGAGCGGTACAACGTCAAGGGCGCGAAGCCCTTCTTCCCCTCGGAGAGCTACGACCTCGAGGTGTCCTACAGCCGCTCCACCGACGTGCCGCGCACACTCCAAAGCGCCGATGCCTTCTTGTACGGCCTCTTCCCCAACAGGACTGCGGCCTTCCCCGCGATTCACACCGTCGCCGAGGCCTCCGACCGTATCCTGAGGAGCGATGCTATTCCATACGCGCGTGTCTTTTATTATCTGGACGACGCCTGGAAGCGCGAGGTGGGCAGCCCGAAGATCAACGAACTCATCGATTCCCCCACTCTGCAGGCCGTTGCCAGAGAGGCGCTCAGTGAGGGGTACTGCGCGGACCCGGCGAAGCTGAACTCGTGTGCGTACAGTCTGTTCGACATCGGCACCTCCCTGGAAGCCGTCGGGCGGATTGATGAATTCCCCAAATTGAAGGAAAACCTGGAGAAGCTGCGCTCGTATGCGGGGTTCTACTTTCGTGCCCAATTTGGGTACAACACATCGGACGAGGTGAAGGTGAAGATGGGCAGCAGCGGCCAGCCTCTGATGCAGCAGTTCCTGGCGAACGCTCAGCTGCACATGCAGGGCAAGTCCACCTACAAGCTGTACCACTACAGCGCCCACGACACAACCCTCATTCCGCTGGCAGCGACCCTCGCCGATGACGGCCTCGACGCTGTGATGCCGCCCTACGCCCAGCTGTACGCCTTCGAGCTGTTGTACGATGATGCGGCCAATGCCTACAGCGTGCGGGTGGTGCGGGGCTCTCCTGGACAGACGCCCGCTACGAATTACGCCTTCAGCTTGGATGGGTTCAAACTGAGGTGCATGGGGAGCGACGGCAGGGTTTACGTGGCCAAAGACAACACCTGTCCCTACTACGACCTACAGCGTTTCGTGGAGTCGAGCAAGCCGACGTCCCCCGAGGGCCTGTGCTACCTCAGCGATCATTACAGGGACTTGCTAAGCTGCCCGGCGCAGGCGGGCGCGACCCCCAACAAACACTGCCGGGACTACCGGTTGGCGTGCCCTGCATTTGCGTGCGGCTCCGGACACACGCTGGATCCGGTCGCAGTGCAGTGCGTGTGCAGCTCCGCGTCCTGCATGGAACGGAGTGCCGTCGGGGGCCAGGGAGCGAGCGAGAAGAGAGTGAGCGCAGGTGCGACCGCCGGCATTGCGATTGCCTGCTTTGCCGTTGGCGCGATCCTCGTTGCCTGCGTGGCCGTGGTGGTGGTGTCGCGCAGGAAGAACAAGTACGCGGTGGGGCAAGACCAATCTGCATAGCGTTTCCCCCTTCCCTGTGTGTAGCTGTGTGTAATTCAAGGTGCTCGCGCCATGGCGCGGGGCTGCAAAGTGGGAATGCGGTCCCTGCGCGCACAGCTACACGCATTTACTTTATTTTTTGTTTTCACGTTGGATTGGTTTAGCCTGATTGGTTTCTTTGGGCGTTGACCTTGGCGGGCTGCGCCTCGCTGGGTCTGGTTGGGAAAGTGGGCGCCCATTTACCCGGGCCGCCGTCAACTTCCCCACCCGCCCCCTTCTTGGTAAGAATAAGACGGAAATTTAATTAGAAAGACGGAAGAAAAGCCCTAACGCACATGAGGCACGCAAAGTGTTCTATAAGCCGAGTGTGCGGGCAGAGGAGGGACTGTTGGGAATTTGTAAGAAATGGGGAATACGGATTTAATTGCCAGGGGGTGAACCTTTTCGGCCGCGGCCCAGCAGCTAGCCGCCGCGTTGCCTTTGCCGCGCTGTTGCGC